TATTTTGCGTAGGTTTATTTATTCTTCACCACAACATTGGAGTTCAACTAGAACTAGAGCATAGGTTTTTGTGAAATGTGTCCATGCACGCTGCGAAATTGTAATTGTTTATACATTACTCGAAGTTTTTAGTTTTATTTTAACATAAAACAAAGGTAGCATGTAATGAATGGAAAACCATTTACTTTTTATTAACTATAATTTATTTTTTGTAAAAAAAGTACAACCGACTTCAAACTCTCTAAAAAGAATTACATAATTTCAACAAAGTAAACTTTTCTATTAGTTGAGCTCACGTATTTTAAGTCGGCACGGCTCTATCATGATTTTTGATACAAAATTTAAAGAGGATGTCCACATTGCAGGTGTAATCTATAACTGAAGGTGTTAATCTGCATGTCTTTTTCATAGTTATGTGTTGGGTGTTATTTTATTACTGTAGCCAAAGATCGGCAGATACCATCATAACTTTTTTTTAATAAGATAGTAAATTATAATCTTATAGTGGTATTAATGAGTATCTTAGAAAGATCCTATATATACAATATATATACAATTTATTGATTTTCAAAATTCATTCAATCTGTTATTTTATTCATATTCGCAGATAGAGCCGTGCCGACTTGAAATCATGCTTGAAATACGTGAGCTTGACTAATACAAAAGTTTACTTTTTTGAAATTATTTCATTCTTTTTCGAGCATTTGTAGTCGGTTGTATTTTTTTTACAAAAATAAATTATTTTATGATTTTCAGTGACTGTATAATTTGTTATATATTAATTACTTGAGGTTTTTCGATAAGCAAATTTGTTCAAAAGTGCAAACAATCAAAAGTGCCACAGAACAATCATTAGTTTTAAAACTGCTTGAGTTTTAAATAAAAAAAGTTTTAGTTTACATAAAAAAAAAAATTAAAAACATGATAGGAAATTCTAAATAATTATTTAAATCGCCACCCAAATATTTTTTTTATTTCAACCTAATTTTAGTAAGGTCGTCTTAAAAATTGTAAGAATAAATAAACTTGAATAAAATTATGAATAGAAATATTACTATAGAAAAAAGCCAAATAGGCCTATATGTTTTTTTTTTCTCGAGAAACCCTTAGGGAACACAAATAAATTGTTTATTTGGTTAAATATTTCAAATTCTTTTCAAAAACATAATTAAAGTAACCAAATGTTCAAAGTCTAGTACAATACTTCGTACTTTGATCAACAATAATAAATAGTAAATAACAATATTCATATGAACAAGTTACACCATTCCATAGACAATTTAATTTCCTTTAAGAATGCCAGAGGTTAATAAAATAGGTCTTCAAATTTATCGGGAATTTTAATTCGAAACAGGGCACGCGCGCTGCCGAGCATTGCCATCATACTACAGTACAGGCGCGGCTGACAACCACGTGACGTCACAGGGTGAATCGAGTGGGATGCAGGTACACCGGCGGAGTGGTCTAGCCCTTACTAGCTGCTATCCCCGGCCCTGCTGGATTGTACCCTCGAATACGCCTAAGATATTAAGGACAGACCCGTTAGGCCCAATTAAAACTTTGTTACTTGAATTTAGTGGGTACATAAACAATTTCAACTTATAAAGTGGTTGGGGCAAGACACAAACGTCAGCTCCAGTGTCTATCTTAGCTTGAATACATACTCCATTTAGTTTAACTTCAGCAGACCATTTTGCTTTAGGATTCTTTTGAGGATTAATAGACCCCACAAATTCGTCACTCTTAATAACTTCATCTTGAAGAGGATTTGAATTTATTTCCTTGACATTTTTGAACTGGCAACATTTAGCAAAATGGCCCTTCCTGTTACAGTTTCGACAGAAAATATTACGGGCAGGACATTTTGGTCGATCATGTTGAGCGTTACCACACCACTGGCATTGATTGTAGTAATTGGTACTGGACGCATTGGAATCAACTGGAGGTTTCTGAGCAAATTTAGTGCCCCAAGTCCTTGAAGTGACTTTATCTGCAGTTAGAGCATGTTCAGAAGACCCGGACCTCATCAATGATTGTTGCATTTTAACCGATTCGGCTTGCTTAACATTTGAGACAGCAGAATTAAGTGTTAAATCTGCATTCATTTGTAGTTTTTCAGATAAACTTTTGTCTCTAATCGCTACAACAAGTTGATCTCGTATAGCCTCATCTTTATAAGAAGCAGGGAAATCGCATCTAGAAGCCATCTCATGAAGACCATTAATCAAACTCTCAACACGCTCTTCCTCATGTTGACTCCTAGTATGAAACATGTACCTCTCATAGATAACATTTTTAGAAGGTATGAAATATGTATCAGATTTTTTTAAAACAGTTTTGAAACTTTTACTTTCCTCAGATGTCAAATTAAATGATTCAAATATGCTTTCAGCCTTTTCGCCCATCATATATAGTAAGGTGTTTACCTGATATGGTTCGTCTTCATTGGTGAGCCCAGATACCGCATGAAAGCGCAAGAAACGGGTTTTCCATTTAGACCAGTTTTCTCCTTTAAAATCAAAATGTTCTGGGGAAGGAACACTAAAACCTTTCATCTTTATGTACTGTATAGCTAAAACAATAAAAAGCCCGCTGCCACCATGTAGTGTTATCGTAAGTTAAATTAAAATATAGTTTTAATAAGACAAATACTTTATTAGGTAGCTTCTACAATAAATCATGATTCAGAATGTTTACCAACAAAAACTAAACAAATAATATTCTAACACCATATGTTTTAAAACACATATGAATAACAACACACATTCACTCGTCATTCATATAATAATTAATAGGCAGTAGACATAAAAAATACGTTATTACTGAAAACGCTTACTATTATAACAGAAAAATAAGGATGAACAATTGTACCCTATAAATTGATACATAAGATTTGTTCTGAACCAGCGTAGTGATAAAAAGTTTCTATGGAAATACTACAGACGAAGTTTTACGGCATAATAGAAAAATTTAAAAAAAATTGCAAATAGGCTACTTTTTGTAAGCCTAACTGATTTCTGAGGAGTTAAGTTAAAAATCAATAGCTTGTTTGATAAAGCCACATTTGCATTGCTTTTTAGTTTCTATTTTATATTCAGAAGAAGAAAATTTTATTGTCATAAGCCGTTGGCATGTATAAATAAATAAATAGTTATGTATAAATAAGATAAGGTACAAAATCCACTGGGTTTCAACAAATCCTATATTTGCTTTCTAACCCTTTTTGTAAACTTAAACTGTTATAATATTCGTTATAAATAATATCATAATAAAAGATCATTAGACTATTAACAATTTAGTTTTACACGAGGCATGAAATTACACAAAATCCCTATTATCTTTGATAAATTTTACTTTTGTCTTTTATCAGTCAAGTCTCAGTTTGCTGGATTTACAATATACGTTATGTTAAACTCCTATGCGAATGTAAGCAAGCAGTACGGTTGGACATGATGGTGGATGAACTAACTGTTGATTCAAGTGTCACAAACACTTGTGGATGACTGTTGTCTATACGAAGCTACATCGCTGTTTTACTCTTGTAACTATTTACATGCCATAACTGAAAATATTTAAAAACATTTGAAGATAAAGGTTATTACATCACGAAGAAAGGTATATTGTAATTGCAAGGTAAAAATAATAATGCAAGCTGTAGAATTAGCAGTACATATCGTCATTTATATTAAAAAACAAGCTGTGGTATATTTTGTAATTTTTCATTTATATTTTTTCACCCATCTTCAATAGGCTAATTTATTATTTAGATTTGTTGCTAAAGATAATTGATACACATAATTAAATTAATAAAAAATAGATTGATTAAGAAGTGAAAATTATGCACCGACTGTAAAATAAATGTTTGACACTTGTAAGTTCTAAAAAAACTGACTAAAACCTTTCTCAAAGTAAAATTAACTTTGTTCATATTGCCTAACGAAGAGAGCTATGTCCCTAACGTAGAATATGAGTGGTACAGTAAACTGCATAATTAATACAAAGACATGTTTTACCACTATCGGGTGTTTCATTGCCTAAACTCTCGCCATTGTGTAAAATATTTCCTTTATGCAGTTTTCACGTGAAATATCATGTTGGCGATTGAAAAATGTCTCATTCACTTGGTTACAATGTAAACTTTTATATATGACTTTAAACGAGTAATAGAAAAAAAAACAAGCAAACTATGAAATGTTTTGTATATAAAAAATTTTAAGTATGAACTATTAAATTGCACGTTGTGTTATTCATAAAACAAAAAGCATAACGTTCTTTTCACCACACTATGATGTTTTTGGCTGTATTACATACGTTAATTGGTGGCTGAAAGTTACGTTTTGCTGGCCATGCCAGCTGTCACCAATTTGGGGACCGAGCAGGTTTTTACAGGCCGGGGCCGCAAAATCAGCTGTCCGCTTACTTACTTAGAACATGAATGCGTTTTAAATACACAATCGTAATCCATAGCATTGCAATATAGAATTGTGTTATTGTCACCGTTGCCTAGCAACTATTTATTTTTATTTTGCTGATTCCTCATATCATTTCTTCACATAACCTTAAAGTTGTAGTTGTGTTGAGTATCAGTGTGCATTATTATAGTGGTGAATAGTGGTTATAGGGTTTAGTGTGGTGAAAAATAGCGTTCGTACCACGGACCAAAATGGTTTTGCAGCTCTCGATCGATTTAAGTTCTCGACTTCGTCTCGAACTTAAAAACTATCTCGAGCAGGCAAAACCTCATTTTCGGCCCTAGGTACGAAATATACTATTTTGTAGTGCTAAATAAGATTGATAACTGTATTGTACATGTGAGACTATGTTTAATTATTGCTGTGTTGTTTTTATTGTTTGTAGCAAAAAGGGCTATATATGATTTATCCATATTCTTGCCTTTTTTAATATCTGCCCTAACAGGTTGATTTAGTAAAATTACTAACTCTAATCAATACATTGATATCATGTGAATATACCAAAAGAAAAAGTAACAAACCAATGGGTTTTAGTTTAAAAATTCTTTTTATTAAAATATAATAAACACATTGTTATTTTGCATCCTATGATTCCTTAAAAATTTAATAATATTTTCCAAAAGTTACTTAAACATTAAGAATTATTATTTATGATAATAGTTTTATTTTGTAAATGTGACAGAATCAAGAGGATACAATTAGATACTTAACAAGCCCCCCATTGAGAACATTATATAAACAAAAAATGCCCCTACGTCAAACACGCCAATCCCATACCTGACACGCATTAAGCCTTGTTTGGCATTGGGATGTTCTTGAAGATTGAGTCTGTGTCTCCAAGTTTCCCGCGGGATTTCTTGTAGCAGGCGTACAACTCGAGGGCGATGAGGACGAAGAGGAGAAGGATGATGAGGAGAGCGAGGAAATGCTGGAAGGCCCATCCTCCAGGGATCTCCGATGGAATCTTCTCCGGCTTGGTCTGGTTGTACTGAGGTCCGAAAATCTTGTTGACGTCGAAGATATAAAACACAACGTGGTGTTTCTGCTGTTCCTCTTCTGGTTCTGGAATAAATTGAGAGGTGTAAAAATGGTAAATCTGTTTAAAAAAATGTTTCTGTAGGCCAATATATATGTTGAGGCATCCTGGAAAAGAATAGTATATGTAAAAGTACTGCAAAGTAGGCACATTTCGCCAAGGTTTGCTATTAATAGTGAGTTGAATACCACATTCAACACACGAATAAGTGAGGTTGTATCCCCCTTTTAGATATTAAAACCACCTAAAAAGTAAATCAACCCTCTTATATCTATAGACAATCCTTTAACTATCCCGACGGGTAGCCATTTACCATTAGTTTCAAAACATGCCATTAGCTACTCAAAGATTGCTCCATAGTAAATTATGCAGATACAGTGTATACATTTTTACACATGGCTTCTGACTGTATTTCAACATTCAAAATACATTATTAAAGTTTCTCCGTCAAAAGTCATTGCATGTCTTACAAGTGTTACCAAAACGACCATAGAAAAACATTGGCTTTGATCGACAATATTTATTTAATCTTGACGGATTGAACTCCCTGGTTTGAGGTTATATGTACTTATGTGCAAGCACTTAGGTACACTGGTATCGTGTGTGTAAACGATTTTACTTTATGTAAATGACATACTTCCCGTTAATCACAAAGTGAAGATAATTCATTACACTGTTACCTTGTGGAGCTGTTCCCATGTGTATAGTGAAAGAGGGAGTAGCAGTTGGTTTCTTCTCCTCTTCCTGTTCTTTGTGGGTTTCCGGTTTCTCGAACATTTCCTGTGGCGTTTCCGTCGGCGTAGGTTTTGTTTCCGGTCGGCACTTGCACTTGCCCTCGCCCGACTGTACCTGCTTCGCTGCTCCTTCGCAGAACGCCTCCATCCTCATGAGGTGGCAGCGGAAACGACACGTCGCTGAGGGGAACTTGCCGAAGAAGCAGAACTCGCTCATCTTCATTGGTGGCTCTGTGGATAAGTCATTGCCTTTAAAGAAAAATTTGTGAAATTGATTTGTTGGTCTGCTTTGGTAGGTAGGTTTAGATCAAGTAGGTCAATCTGATTGTACAACAAAAGAGCAAAAACGTGTAAAGGAATGTTGTAAAATAAATTTATAAAGGTTGAGTATCAGTTTATTTACAATACACAAAAGTTCTATTTAAGAGGAATATGGCATTGGAACATAAAAAAGTAGTAATCGGTTAATATACGTTAAAAATAGAGTACTTAAGGTTGTTACATTAAGGTTGTTAAAAATAGAGCTTGGTCTTGCAAAGAAATAAACAATATTTATCAAAAGAGCGTTTTTATGAGTTTATTTGATAATTTTATGTTGTTTAAGCCTTTGATGCTCATATATGCTATTTTAATAACGAAGAAACTTTTTATATAAATAAGCATACTTTGTAAAAAAACGTGTTCTAGAACGGACCTAAATGTTACTTAACGAGCAGTCAATGGAAAATCAAACAGATAAAGCATGTATGACAAGACATAATTATATTAGACTTTCGCCTTCGTGTCTGTTAACTTCCATAATTTTATCATAAAAATGCACAAAACAGTTCAAATGAATCTATAAAAATGGTTTTCTAGTACTGTATAAAGAAGAATAAACATAATGTACGGTATTCAAAATCCATTTCATTTTGTAAAATGCTGATCATCTAGGTAGTGGAGTTATCATGTTGTCATGTTTGCCTTAGAACATGGCAACATAATAACCCCTTAACACACCCTTAAAATATAATTGCTCTCATATTTGAGAACAATGAATAATTTTATGATATTAATGTTAATGGTTTATACAGTTAATGGTTTATGACCTTTTTGTTCATATAAAAACAATAGTTTATTATTTACTACCGAAAGTGTAATTGATAATGGTAGGCTATATAAGTACACATTTTGTATTTCCCTATATATTATAATATAGTTTCACAAATCTGTTGGTCTTAACATAATCGTAGCTTCAGATTTATTTTCTTTTTACATTAGGAAACTCATCACTATAGAGGTGTGAATATTTGGAAAAGGTTGTTTAATAATTAGTTAATGATGAGTGATATTTTGCTAATGAATACAAGAAGTACAGCACCACCGTTATAAATGAAAGGATCAGTTCTTACAAGAGTTATTCATAGTAAATTATAGACTGTAAAAATATCGCGGAAAATATGTATAAGAATAAATATACAAACATTTCAAGGAGACATAAATACTGTATCTCTTTAAAAATAATAAAATAGAGACCTTTAAAAATAATATATTGTTTGAAATTACGTATAATCTAAAACGTCACAAATTATAAATTATAAATAATTACGTAAATGCAATTTTTTCCAATAACTTTTTTAGATGTAAGTTTAACAATTAAAAACTCGTTGAGACATTTACCCTCAGTTGCTTTTATCTTTAGGCAAAGTCGTTTTTAACTTAACGGGCGATGAAGTTAACCATTATTAACCATTTAACGCATCATTGCGGACCAAAGTACCTGAACGAATCACTTAAGAGGTATTTAAGAAGAACTTAAGAACTGTGACATTGCTCTGGTTGATCTATTCGTCAAACTCTCTTTTATTGGTTCAGAATGAAATTTGTGAAAAATTCTACATTAATAAGGCGAAATTATGAAAGTGTAAAAATAAGTAGTATAAAGTAAAAAAAAAACATTTAACATTGATTTATACTTCTTAATAGAAAGTTGTAACGAAAGAAAGAGTTATAATTTTTAATTCAGTATCGATTATATTGAGAATGATGAATAGTTATTGCTTGACTATCAAGTGAGTTCATGGACAGAGGAAAGTTTTTCTTGTCTAGTAGACCTATCTTTTGGAAGTTTTAAGATAGATGGACCTACCTTATGGTAGGCTCCAAACGACAGGCATCAGTCAATCATCTCGTCATGTCATCATTAGAAAGTTTAACATCGTAGCTTATGGAAAAGATGAAAGAGGTCTCTATGATCAAACTTTTACTTTTTTATAGATCTCCTAGATCGCCTGTATTCTAACGGAAATTTAATTACAACCCAATAAGCCTTCCAATAACACTACTATTAAACTTTTTAAACGACGTTAATATGCTCTAATTGCTGTTTACAAAATAATTCGGCCATTTTTTTAAAGAAACGATATTCTCAACCACTCACTTGTAAAAAACATAGTTTAGTTGTGTCAACCTTATTGAATGCTTCGAAATGATCAATATAAACACAAATGTGTACCAAACCAATCGTTTGCATTCATCTCTTCTGAACTTTATGGACGTTATGAACTTTAGATACATTTGTATTTTGAAACTAAAACCAACGCAATCTCCACGTAGCAGACATCTGCTGGTAGATATCACATAATTCACACAAACACGGCCGAGCACAGCTGGTGTGAGAGATTAGCACCATGTAAACTATAATTAATGTGCAAACCCTGGGCTTAGCGTCGTGTGTTTTGGATTAAAAAGTTGTAAACAAAAATTTTTCACTGTCTAAAGAAAGATTGAGTTAAATTCCCAAATATTAGTCATACAATCTAAGTAATAGTGAATTAATGTCAACTAATATTCTCGAATTGGACCTACGATATAAAACTCTAGAGGGGTTTATACAAAGTTCTTTCTAAATGATTAATAAAAAAATATAATGTTATTAAAAAAAATAAATAAATACAAATTGAAAGGAGTGAGGAGAGTTTAATTAATGCGTAAATTAATAAAAAAAATCTGGCTGAGTTTAAACAAAAAAAAAAAATTATTCTTTGGGGTTTAAATTCTTTAAAGATGCAAACTGTATATAAAACAGTTGACTGGTTCACTAAAATCCGTCTGAAAATTATTGCCTTGCCAAACTTATATGTATTCCAGTCGCAAATGTAGGCAAAATATAAATAAGTTGTTTGTAGAATGGTTTTGGTTTGATTTTGTTGCATATCGGCGATGTAATCGGATTTAGAAGATTTAATTGCTAAATTCAGTTGTTTATACGGTCCATCCAATACAAATGATAACGTATAGTAGTACTTTGGTATTATACCGACCATACCTATCGACCACACGTATTAATTATAACCTAAACTAACCTAACCTAAGGGTGGTTAGGTTAGGAAGATTTTGTTAGTTAACAAAACAATGGTACAATCGAGTGGTAGGTATAATGCCAACCTACCCGAATACTATTCACAATAAGCTATGGGTGACATGTTTGGACCTATCAATAAAATTATAACAATTATATTCAAATTTAAATGTTTACATTAAAACTAATATCACAAATCAATTTAAATATTTTTATAAATAATATTACTATATTTCACATACTAAAAATAAAGCCAACCAATCATAATAACATATTTTGCACCCAAGATACTTTTGGGACCATTTTGAAACTGTTCAGAAACATTTCATGACACTGAAGACCGCGGTAAAGAATTTCGTTTGCACGCTTACTTTAAGGATGGAGGTATTTTAAGACTGCAAACATCTACTTTATTAGTTTTGACTTGTACTGCGTAGAGAGAAAGAAAGAGTCTTTAATTTTACTAGTACTAATCGTATTAAAATTTTTGAAAGGATTTACACAATCTTATTAATGGTTTGTAGTTTATGGTTTTATGGAGTGCTCACACATTTATTTAAACCAAACTCAAGACAAGTGAAACAAGTGATTTCAACTAGGGATCTCACTTACAAATTTTAAACGGTTCACAGTAAAAAAAGAATAACACATTTTAGATAAAGTAGTTATAATTTGCAAAATATTTAGTTAATAAGTATAATGACACTAAACTAGTACCTCTGCCCAATGTCCCTTGTAACAACCATCTTTATGGAAAAACATGCTGTAATTACGTCCTAATTAAAATATATTTTAGAAGTCAATTTCAGATTAAAAAATAAAAAAAAACTCTCTCAAAATCCTTATTTTATTATGAAATTAAATACAAAAATGTCATATTGCATCATTATGAAGACAATTATTTTGTAAGACGTGTACAAAAGTGATGATGCATATGTAAAAAACTCTATTTTATAAAATATATAGATTGAAAACAAGATAAAATAACCAAAGATAAAAGCGTATATATTCAATCTACGAAACATTACCATTTTGGACTGGCACTAGCGCTGTGGTTGTTTTTGAAGCGTCTTCAGATGCGTGCCCAACTCCATGAACATCTTGTCCAGCTCCAGGGTCAGTTCCTAGAGGGGGTTCGGCGGTCACGGCTAATACAAGCGTCACAACAAGTACTCCTACTAGGTACATGGTTGGGAGCAAACTGTCTAGTTTGATAGTAGAGCATTAGACACGTCACCTGTAATGGTACACAGATGACACAAGTGTTCCATCTGCACCTAACATCCAACATGATGTTGCAATAGGTGGGAATGTTCGTACTGGGTTGATTTTGAGGTGAAAGAAGGTTAGCCGTTTAAGATTTTTTGGGAATTGGTATCGGCTTAGATTAATTATACGATTTCGTGGCAGAGAATGTGTTTTTGACCATGTCAGGAGTGAAACTTTGCAGTTGAATACATTAACTTTGTATATCTGGCTTTGTTAATGTATTGAAGTGATTTGTAGGTTAGTATACATAAAAAAAATGGAATTTATGCTTGTTTATATTTGCAATGTCAACACAAAGTTAAATATTGTGAGTTTTCCAGTACTTCCATGGAGGCCAATCAATATTTACTTTTGAATCCCACCTCGAAACTATGGACTTCCAAGGGGTGAAGTCCGGAAGGTCCTCAGGGAATGAATGACATTCCTAGATATGTGGACCATCTTTGAGCTTCATTTTGGCTGTATCAGTTAAGTATTTTAATTGTGACAGCTGCCCAGATAAACAGAGAGGCGCCAACTCAATTTTGTAATATTATAGATGATTATAATATGTATCATTGACTTTATAAAGACCTAGATATTTCGATACATAAATTTATTCATTCGATTAATTGTTATCTAGACATTTTGGAATTGAATAAAACTTAATTTAGATTTTGACAATAAATTTATAATAGCTTACAACTTTGAACTATGTAGCACTAAAAAAATCTCTATTTTGAACGTATGGCCATGGTAGGTTTGTCGTAGGGGCTTGTGCGCATGGTGGTCGCTGACTTGTATGTATGTATGTGTGAGTGTGTGTGTGTGTAAGTATTTTAAAAATTTACTGATTTTTGATAAAAGTTTCAATATTTAAGATTTCTGTTTTGTTTTATTGTATAAGCTGATTCTGTTAAAATATTTATATTATATTTTAAAGTACAGGTTAAGTGTAAGAAAGGGCCATGTGGCCCTATCTTTGCCTGTGTAAATAAATGATTTTTCATTTTCATTTTCATTTTCACTACATGTAGTAACTAGACAAATATTTTTTATTTAATAACAAACATATTATTGTACCACTTTTCTAAAAAAATGTGGTATAATGTTGGTTTATTTCGTGTATTGAACCATATAACAAAGGTTGGATTGTTGATAAATAAAATATATTGATTTGTTGATAAATAAAATATATTTAATTAAATATCCGTACGGTATATAACTTTTGACGTTAAATTAACAAAGAGATTTGTTGGTTTTTGCTCGGTAGGAAGATAAGACAAATATTTAAATTTATAACATATTCAATCGACATATAAACTACCTGTAAAACTACGCGGTTGAATTTTTATTTATTTTATTTCGTTTACAGATTTGATATTTTAACCGATGGATTATTTTGCTATCAATTGACCTAAGACAAAAATCATCGAACACTTTACATGGAAATATTTAAAAGCCAATACATTAGAGCCAAGACGGTAGACTGTAAAATATACGCCTCGTATAGCTAGTGCATCATTTACATGACCAGGACTACATTATTTTAATGCAAGTCCAGCAAACCTCTTTGACATATCACATAAGAAGGGCCACATACAGATGCAGACAACAGTTATGTATAAATACACTAATGTTATGCATTATGAATAATTCCAAACGTCCCTGTAGTGTCGAGCAACTCTGACTGAATAATGTAATAAATGATACATCAAGGTCCATCCGACTCGGTGCATTATGGTCCAGCATTATGCAGAAAACATTTTAGTTGGAAAGTACATTATGTTTTTAGTTAGCTAGAGATAGGACAAATACGAAGTTTGTTATAATGTAACACATGTGTAGATGACACCCCTTTTTAGAGACTTTCGAAATAAATTTTAGCGCCACTATGGCTTCATAAAACACTTTCAAATGTTGTAGCTAACAAATTAAAATATTCCTGTGATTAATTTGCAACTATTTTTGTAGTGCATAGGAGTAATAGAGTTATTTCTTCATAGAACCTTTTTCCCTTTTTCCTTTTAACCCGTTTAGGTCGGGAAACATAAGTCACGACGTTAAACGATAAAAAATAAGGTTTGGGTCTAAAAAATTATAATATATGTTTACAAGAAGTGCTAATTTTCAATGCACAATTAAATAGCGTGAGTATTTAAATTAGTTACACAAGCTTTTAGTCGGGTGTTTTAAACTCATAGAAAATAATTATGACTGTTATTACTGTAGTTTTAAAATAACTTCTGTATTATACCGGTACTTGACAATTGCTCGAATTCGACAACTAATTCACTAGTATTTTATTATTATAAGTGAAAATTCTGTTATCATATTAAACTTAGCTACAAGAATTAAACTCAATGATAAAGAGTGTGTATTAGTTTATTCAAACATTTTTACAAAGATTCTTGGTGGCGGTTTCATTATTCTACATAATCTTTTCCTCAAGTTGTGCCATATATTTTATATAATATTCCACCATCTATCTTTATTATCTATTACTACCTTTGTTCTTGCATTTTGCATTGCCTTCCTCCCTCCCTCTCTTCGTTACCTTCTAATTGAGTACCCACATCAATATATCTCAACATATTGTAATCTAACAAAAAACCACTAAGTGGTAACACTTCCCCCGCCAAGTCAGCAACCCAAAAAAGACAATAAATCACCACTTTTCCGCCAAGTAAAACAATGTAATGTATGTAAGTTTGGCAACTTGGCGGCAGACTTTTGCTTGTTTTTTTTTCATTAAAGTTACGTTGGTGGATAATTTCACAAATCAACTTCTCTAATTAATTAATTAGTCCAACTAAGTATAATAATTTCGAGGTAATCAGTAAATATAAAACCATCACTATTATGATTTTATGAAATGTGACACAAATAAGGTCAAATTTTGTAAAATAAGTTCTCATCTAGCAATGTACTATTGGGAGAGATACTTGCTCAATGAAACTAATTTTATGGTATTTTTTAAAGTGATCAAGCAAAAGTCTGCCGCCAAGTGGCCAAACTTACATACATTACATTGTTTTACTTGGCGGAAAAGTGGTGATTTATTGTCTTTTTTGGGTTGCTGACTTGGCGGGGGAAGTGTTACCACTTAGTGGTTTTTTGTTAGATTGTATTTATTTTTGTAGAAAATTAACAGTTAAAATAAAAATCCTCTTTTCTCTTATATATAGACCAGGGCACAACTACACATAAAATGCATTGGTGTTACATAAGTGTTCCGATAATTAAACCCGTATATCTAAAGACTAGTGTAAATTGAGCCCTTATTAGAGAAGTAAAAATGTAATCAAACAGATTAGGTTTGTTAGAAATAGCATAAGGCAAAACAAATATTGAAAAACTCATTTTTATCCTAAATTTACATACCACTTTTTACATTCACTTTTTTGCTTGTTTAACATACGTAGACGGATTTTCCCGATTGTTTTATTTGTTTTAGTGTATCAAAACATAAAACTAACCTTATTTAGTTAAATAAATTTTGGCAATATTATGAAGAAACAATGTTAAAACTAACCTTAGTACTAGTACTAAGTTTCAAGTTCCTAGGTTTCATATGTTTTGATAAGTAGTATTAAACTGTTAAAAATGACGAGCTGCTGTACCAGTGTACCATCGGTACACTGCATTTTTCAATGGAAAGTATCGGGGAATATCACTGCTCTAAGTAATTTTATATAGTAAGTAGCTCAAATCATTCGGTATACCTGAAAAAAATACTTTATAAAAGTTTTAAAAGAATTTTTCAGCTGATCCTATGAATTTCTCTAACATTTTAAATTAATTGAGATTCAATCGCAGCTGATCCTTCTTTTGTTTTGATTTTAATCCCATGTTATTTAAATGGGCCAAAATCGTACTTTGAGGGCTTGCCAAGGGTTTATGGGTCAACGCACCGACTTGTGACCCTCAAAAGGCACATCTACACGCTAAGGGCTTTCAAACAACATAAAAAACATTAAAATTGAGCCAGTGGTTTGGGCTGTAGGTCCGTCAACATTTAAGGAGAAGAAGGAGAACACGGAAAATTTGTGAATTTTCAAACTAGTTTTTCTTGGCTCAAACACAACCTTTTTTTAAATTCTTTTTTTTATTTTGCCAAGAATGATTGCCCCTATCCAGTGGATGAACAATTATTTTAATAGCTTTTGTTTCTTCAGAGCTATAGACGAGTAAAAAAGCCACTTTGTCACGTCATGTATATATACACTGCAGCAGCTGTGTACCGCTGGGGGACTTGGCGGGGCGGAACGCTGCCGCGTTCCTTAATATGGAACGCGTACACACTGTATAGATTAAAAGCAAGTACAGTAAATAAACACATTTTCAAAAATAATATAGTAGTAGTACATGTACTGCGAGTCTAAGTAGCTATCGTACTCCTTAGAGAGTAAAAAACATTTTTAGTCCCTAGGTAGTAAAAGTCAGCGGTTTTAAACAAGGAATAAAGTCTGGAGCTCTAACCACTAGACCAGCTCGCTCCCCAATAATAGATATACCTAGAATAGAATACATTAAAACAATTGCATATCTAAATTGACGAAAATTCACAGAACGACTATTACGATTCATTCTGGCCATACAGATCACTAGGGAATGATTTTACAATTGAGCTCATAAACTCACAAGCTTTGGAGCACACCTGCCCCACGATTTATTATGTACGAGTTGGTTGCGGAGGAGAGAAATTAAAACAGCCGCAGTTAGTGATTTAAAGTGGTGGTTGGAAAGAGATGATGCATAGTGTAATATAAATAACTTCTTGATCAGCATTGTACGTGTTATTAAGTTTACGGAAAGTAATTAAATATACGTCTTATAACACTTAAAACATATATTTACGCTTATACTGTTACTCACAAGACGGTAAATATACAAAAGATGGTAAGTGGTTACCACTTAAGTACCACATGGGTACCACTTCCGTAGTGTAATCTGTACGATATTCTAT